ATTAACCTGAGTTCATCATGTTCCGGGAGTATTGACTGGGGTTTACAATGTCCTGGGAATAATGAGCCCGGTTTTCGAAATTCCGGAGTGATAGTAATTATCATGTTCCTCCCAACCCCCGGGTTCCCCGCCAGGTTTTTCATGTTGGTATATTGACCCTGGTTCATTATCTCCAGGTGCTATTAAACCCGGATTCATATTCTTCCCGGAATATTGGCCCCGGTTTCATTATTCTGGAATGATAATGATTGAGCCTGGGGGGGGCCGTTTGAAAGTACGTTCTGGACTTAAATAAACCTTGGTCCATAATGTTGGAATACTAAACTTAGGTTGATTATTCCGGAAAGACAATGATTCGGCCGGGGGGGGGGAGCCCGATCCATTCACGGGACAGTAGATAATCAACCACGGTCGACGAGGATTTCGGAGGCGGCCTCATCGCCGGGATCGTTCGGCGCCGCCAGGGGCGCCGGAGGGAATTTGCCTTCTTCCGCCGCCCTTGGCACCCTTGCCGCCGCCCTTGCCAGACCCCCCACCGCCCTTGGCGCCCTTGCCCCCGCGCGGGGCTGAGCGCTCCTGGGCGTCGCGGTCGTGCGCGGCCTCTGCGTTGTTCAAGAGAGTCGAGTCGACCGTCGCCACTGCAGTTTCAATGTCGAATGAATCATCGCCGGCGCGAGACCCTTCTGCCCTATTGCGCCGACAAGTCTCGTCGTAAACACGCCCCACAGCGCCACTCCGATCGCCCATGGGCGCCCGCGCGGCCACCTGCCACTCCGCGCGCGCATCGCACTAGCGCCGATGGATCTGAACAGCATCAGGAAGGAGCGGGCTTTCAGGACGTTCTGGCGGTGGCGCATCGTCGCGACCAATGACATCTGTTTTGCGCAGACGCAAGCGACGGCGTGCCTGCACACTCATGTGACGCCGCGGTCCTTAGACGCGCGTCTTGCGCATTGGCGCGCGCGCCTGTCGCGCGCGGCACGCCGCTGCGTGAAGATGAGCGGCTTCGCTTTAACTGGGTTCGTAACGCCGAGCGCGCGCGCCAGGCTGCGAGGGCCCCTCGACGCGATCGGGCCCTCGTCCGCGTCGTCCTTCGCGCTTTCCGCTTCCACCCAACAGGGCAGGCATTTTTCTAGTCGACGAGAACGAATGGCCGCTTGATGCCGCGACGCATCAGCCGCTTCGCGCCCGACTCGAGGGCGTCGACCGTTGCGGGCCGCGGCCAGAGCGCCTGACCCAACCCCTCAAGGCGCCATCCTGCAACTTCGCGTTTCTGTCCATAGCGCATCCGCGCGGGCGCCTCCCGGTCGCGCTGCCCGCGCTGGCCGGGTCGGCCGCGCGTTGTTCCTCCGCGGTCAGGGCTTTCGCGGCTGCCATCACCCTGACCAAGAAGGGTCGCTTGCCAGCGGGCGGTTTGCCCTGCAGTGCCCCGGCGCCTGCGCAGGCGAGGGCGCGCACTGACGCCGAGTCGCGGGCCTTCGCGCGAAACGCAAGCGCGCCGTGGCAGTTCTCAAACGGTCGCGTCGCATGACACAGGGCCGCGCACTGCCCTAGCCACTCCGCGTCGCGCCCGTCGTCAACATGGGTGGCAAGGAAGTCTGCCGAGGTCATGGTAAGCGCGAGCGTTGCAGCGCGCGTCGCTGATGCGTGAGCGGCGCGCGCAACGGAATGCGCGGATCGCGTCTGCTGCCTGCGCGAGCTGCTGGATGGAACGCCCCCCTGCCCGACGCGCAACGATACGGTGGCGTTGACGCGGTCGCATTCACGCGTTCTAGTAGACAGGGTCGCATTGATACAACCGCATGGACACAGATGAAATGACACGGTGACGCTGATACGAATCATCGACACGGCTTCAGTGGCACGGTGAGCACTGACGCGGCCTAGTTGACACGTTCGCGTTGACGCGGTCGTATTGGCGCGGTCGCCCTGACACGGCCTCAGTGTCACGGTCGCACTGACGCGGTCGATTATCGGCACGGTCGCACTGACGCGGCCATAGTGACACGTTCGCATTGACGCGGTCGTATTGGCGCGGTCGCAATGACACGGCTTAATTGACACGGTCGCGCTGGCACGGTCGCGTTGACGCGGCTGTATTGATGCGGCTGCATTGGTGCGGTCGCATTGACACGGTCGTATTGGCGCGGTCGCATTGACGCGGCCTCAGTGGCACCGTCGCACTGACACGGTCGTTATCGGCACGGTCGCATCGACGCGGCCGTCGTGACACGGTCGCATTGGCACGGTCGAAAAGGAAACTCTGCCACAGCGGCCCGACGACGCGCGCGCCCTGCGGCGCTGCGCGTCAGACGCGGAGGTATCTTTCCCCCCCCCCACCGCGGGGAGAAACAAGGAAGTAGCGAGCACGAACAAGACGAGGAACACGAAGTCTAGGAAGACCTGGGGCGAGCCCCCAACCAAAACTGACCGCCCCTACCTGACCGAGCCCGCCCCGCCACGGGCCAAATGCCCAATGAGTGCGCCACAAGCTGTCTCGCCCACTCAAACCCACATAATTCGCTTGGCGAAGAACCCAACCATACGCAATTGTGGGCACAGCCGTTGTATGCACCACATTCGGTGGGGCTCCCTATGGGGCCAGATACGAAGCGTGTGAGGGGCGTGCCAAAATGGGCGCGGTGGGCACATGCGAACGCTGGCATCTGGGCCTTCGGTTGAGGCTCCCATTGGGGCCACGAAGCGGGTGGTGTGTGTGTGTGTGTGTGCGTGTGTGTGTGTGTGTGTCAAAATGGGCGCGGTGGGCGCATGCGAACGCCAGCATCCGGGCATTTGGTAGGCTTTTCCTGTGGGGCCACGAAGCGTGTGGTGTGTGTGGGTGGGTGTGCAACAATGGGTGCGGTGGGCGCGGGCGAACGCTGGCATTTTGGGCCTTCGATTGGGTCCCTATGGGGCCACGAATCGTCTGAGGGGTGTGCCAAAATGGGTGCGATGGGCGCGCGCGATCGCTGGCATTTGGGCTTAGGGCTCCCTATGGGGCCCCGAAGCGTGTGACGGGTGTGCCAAAATGTGTGCGGTGGGCGCATGCGAACGCTGGCATTGGGGGTCTCGGTGGTGTTCCCGATAGGGCGCCGAATCGTGCGAGGGGCTTGCCAAGATGAGCGCGGTGGGCGCGTGCGAACGCGGGCATTTGGGCATTCGATGGGGCCCCCTGTGGGGCTGAGGGGCGTTCCACAATGGGTGCGGTGGGCGTGCGCGAACGCTGGCATTTGGGCATTCGGTGGGGCTCCCTATGGAACCACGAAGCGTGCGCGGGGTGTGCCAGAATGGGTGCGGTGGGCGCACGCGAACGCAAGCATGTGTGCCTTCGGTTGGGCTCACTATGGAGCCACGAAGCGTGCGCGGGGTGTGCCAAAATGGGTGCAGTGGGCGCACCTTCGGCGGGGCCCCCTGGGGGGCCACGAGACGTGCGAGGGGTGTGCAAAAATGTGCGCGGTGGGCGCATGCAAACGCGGGCATGTGGGCCTTCGGTGGGAACTCTTATGGACCACGAAGCGTGTGAAGGGTGTGCCAAGATTGTTGCGGTGTGCGCGTGCGATCGCGGGCATTTGGGCCTTCGGTGGGGCTCTTTTGGGGGCCACGAAACGTGTGAGGGGTGTACCAAAATGAGTGCGGTGGGCGCATGCGAACGCTGGCGTTTGGGCCTTCGTTGGGGCTCCTTGTCGAGCCACTAAACGTGTGAGGGGTGTGTCAAAATGGGTGGGAGGGCGCATGCGAACGATGGCATTTGGGCCTTCGGTCGGGTTCGCTATGAGGTCACGAAGCGTATGAAGAGTATGCTGAAGCGGGTGGTGGCGATGATGATGATCATGCTGATGATGTTGCTGCTGCTGCTGCTGCTGCTGCTGCTGCTGATGATGATGATGATGATGATGATGATGATGATGATGATGATGATGATGATGATGATGATGATGATGATGATGATGATGATGATGATGACAATGATGACAATGGTGATGATGCTGCTGCTGATGCTGCTGATGTTGCCGATGATGATGGGAGGAGGGAAGAGGAGGGGGAGGAGGAAGTAGGGAGGATAATGCTGGGCGCTGTCTCTTCAAATCAAGGACCCAACACCACAGGAGGGTGGGGAAGAATACACGTAGCACCATGAACCCGGCAACAGACGAGGTCGCCAATCGATGGGCAGCCACCAGAAACCAAAACAGACGCCAGGTGCGCAACGTTCGCGAGGTGCGCCACGCGAGCCAGGTTCCCCACGCACACCAGGTGCGCCAGGTGACCCAGGGGCCCAAGCGTGCCAGGTGCGCCTGCTGAGCTAGACGCGCGCGCCAACGGTGCCACGCGCTCTAGAGGTGCCAGGTGCGCCACGTGCGCCAGGCGGCGGCAGGTGCGCCAGGCGGCGGCAAGTGTGCCAGCGCATGTGTCAGCACGTATATGGCAACATGTCGACCCACATTCAGCCATTCTTTAGCAAAGCCAAAGGACAGTAGCGGCGGGGTGGGCAGCATGTTGCATGGTGTGTGTGTGCACCTGCAAGCAGTCTACATTTGTTTTTGTCAGGGGTCTGTTGGGCAGCGCATAATTGTGGACAGCTATGCTCACCCCACCGCCACCCGGGCCACTATGCTCACCCCTATGACATGGATGGCTGGCCAGGGGGCATTGTTTCTGGTTGGAGGCCGGTCGAGTGGGGGAGGGTGTGTTTCTTTTGAACAAGTGGAAAAGAAGCAGCAGGGACGAGCTCCTCCCCTAAGGGGAAGACAGGGGTTGGAGTTATCATTCCTTTAAACTGCATTCGCCCAGAGGGTTGGTGGGATTTCTGGGAGTCGCTGCTTTCGGTTGCGGCGCGCGGCCATCACGAGCGAGCTTCGTGCCTCGCGTTGGCGCCTCGGCCCACTGAGGCGTCTCCTCTCCAAGGTGTGATTGCTGCCCCTTCTCATCAACCATTGCGTGTTTTTTCAACTCCTCTTTTTGCGACGGCAGCGTCGACGATGGGCGCCAACCGTGGTGAGGACGCCGCGACCACTGCCCTCGCCAGGTTCCTCAGCGCCTGCGAGCCGCCAGCTCACTTGGAGGAGAGGTCGCCGGGGCAGAGCATTGCCGAGGAAGCCTTCGACCATGCTCACACAGCCGTTGCTATTGCTGCTACCAGTGCTGCTGCAAATGCTGCGCATGCTGTCGCTGCTATTACTACTGCGGGCGATGCAGCTGCTACTGCTGCTGTTGCTGCGGTCCACATCCTCTGTCTCCCACTCTTGATCCTCATCCTGCTGCTGCTGCGGCCAGCGGTGCAGCTGCTATCATTACCGCTGCTAGGTTGTACGCCTGCCACTACTTCTGCGGCTGTCCCTGCTAGAACAACTCCTGCTACTTCTGCTGCTGGTGATGCTGCTACTGATGCTGCGTTGCTGGTGGTACTTTGTGATGCGATCGCTGCTGCTGCTGATGCTGCTCGGTCACCAGGGTGGGAGCTCGGAGCTCCGTCTTGGGTTGAGAATGTGGCCCGCGCTGCGGCAGGTATAGTTCTGGGCTGGGAGGGTGTGTGGCCAGCGCTGACGCGGGATAACACCTACCTTGCATATCTGTTCAGCTTGAGTTCGGAGGCATTTGATGTTTTTTCCATAGTTCGGTCGCGTTCTCCCCAGCTCTCCCTGCTCAACATGGATCCGAAGACGGCTTCTAAAGTGCTCCGAGATGCCCAGGGAGCCTCGGAAACGATCCATGGGTCACCTAGTTTGGCTCCAAGAGGCTCCAACCTGGTCTGCGAAAACTGTGAGACCAGATGTGGTTTCATGAATGTCCTGCGTTCTTATTTTTTCAAGTCGCGGTGGCTCCGAGATGTGCCCCAAGCGTTTCCAAGAGGCCATCAAGAGGCCACCAAGAGTCCCCAAGAGGGTCCGTGACGCCCCCCATGCGCTCCCAAGACCGCCTCCAAGGCAGATGCATCACGGCTCAAGACCGTTCAAAGGTGGTTCAATTACGCCCCCAGGCGGCCCCGAGACCTTGCAACACCTTTCCAAAACTGCGCCAAGAAACCCCACGTGGTAGGCCCAAGGGAGCCTTAAGACTGTCAAGGGGGTTCGAAGAATGGCACAGGATGGCCAGCCCCCAGGGAACTCCCTGTTCTCCTCCCTCGCCTCGTCCTGTCCCTCGCCGCTCCCTGGTTCAAGAGCCAGAACCACTTGCCACAAATTCTTGTGCACAGCTGCGTCCTGGAGTTCGGAAACCTGTCGTTCGTCGTTCGTCGATCGATCGTTCGTCCTCGTCTTCGTGGCATCCCCTCGGCCCCCCCAGCCCTGGCCTCGGCTGCCCTGCCCGTGGCCGTCACCCCTCGAGCCCGGAACCCCGCCCTGCAGGCCTGCACCCTCGCCCCCCTCTGGCATCGGAGCTCTTCATGTTAGTTCCCCGTTGGTTCGTCGTCCTCACCCCTCTCCCAGCCCTCCCTCTCCTCCTGGCCCCCGCTGCCCCTAGCCCTGCCCCTCCCTGGCTCTCTGCCCCCCCTTCTAAACCCAACCCAACTGTGTGAAACGTGTTTCTTGCGAGCTGTTCTCAGTTTCAATTGCTGCTGTCCGTAACCATCGTGGCTCCAAGAGCCCCTTGAACCGCATTTTTTGGGGCCGTACCCCAACCTTGTGAGTTCCAGAGGGCTCGCTACTGAACCAGATAAACATATGTACCCAGAGGAGAGAAGGATCACACATCATTCCTTGCGAAACTCAAGAGACATGTTGTGCATGCTGGCCCGTTGCGAGGAGAAACCGACTCGGCCTCGCACTGGTGCAGGAAAGGAAGGACAGTCGATCCACGGATCCCGTCAGCTTACAGTTATCACGTCGGGATCCGTTTCGGCACGCTTGTCGGCGGACCCGCATTGGTAGCGGAACCGGTTGGCTCCAATAGTGCAGTTAGCTGGCACCATGGCAGACGGTAGAGACGGAAGGCGTTGAAGGAAGGATCGAACGAAGGGCACGAGCTGCTAGAGACGACGGGAGGCCACGAACTCTACTACAGTTCTTGGACGAGGCGCTGATGGACGAACCTATTCCGCTGGCTGCGACGTACCCGAAGGAACATGCTACCGGAGAAAAGCCCCAATCATAGTCTTTTTAGAGATATAGGGCCATGGGGCTATAGGGCTATAAGGCTATGCGGCTATAGGGATATATATGACTATCAGGCTATAGGGCTATAGGGCCATCAGGACCAGCAGGGTCATCTGGGCCATCAGGGCTATATGGCTATAGAGCTTTAGGGCTATATGGCTATAGGGCTATAGGTCTATAGGGCTATAGTACTATAGGGCTACCGGGCACCCAGGCACCTCGGCACTCGGGCACCCGGGCACCCGGGCTATCGGGCTATCAGGCACCCGGGCACCCGGGCACCTGGGCACCAGGCCACCCGGGCACCCGGGCACCCGGGCACCTGGGTTTCGGGCGTGCCGCCGAAATCGGCGCCATACCTCGCCTGATAACCATATGAATCCGCCAGGACCCCTACAAGGGCAAGATCTGATTGGGGAACCTTGTTTACGCTGCGGCGGCGGAACCACGAGGCATGAAGGCCAACGCGTGGAGGGGTCTGATCGCGGTGGACAGGTTGGACCAAAGTTTTCGGCGAATCGAGGAGAAGGACGCGAACGACGTTATCCAGCTGAAGAAGAAAGCGTGGCTAGAAGAACGACAGGAGTCAGTGGCAACGGGGTCTGCTCGACCAGATGCGGAAGAAGCAAACGGAGACGTCGACGAAGCCAAGAGCTGGAAGGATGACGATGGCGACCGCGGGAAAGGAAGCTGGTGGTACGGCAGCAGCTGGTGGTCGACATTACCATCGGGATCCACGGGCTGGGACTGGCCACAAACGCAGACGGCGGCATCGTTAGAGGCGTTTTAGAAGGCGACGCAGGAGGAGAAGGCCATGGAGGCGCTATGCTCGCAGGTGGCGAAATACGACCTCGAGGACGACGACGTGGACATATAGGCACCGAAGGATGTGGTCTCATAGCTGCACGAGACGCTTAGTTGTTTGACCTAAACGGTTGGACCCCGCCCTCCCCAGTCGGCTTGGGTTTCCTCTTTCTCCCTGCCCTTGCCTCTGTTGCTCTCTCCCTCTCTCTCTCTCTTTCCCTCTCTCCCGCTCAAGCCTTCGGGGCTCAAAGCCCTGGAGCCGACCTCAGGAGGTCTGGGCGCCCCCCGGGCGCCCGGAAGCGCGTGTGCGATGGCCGCCTGGCGCCTGGCGCCGGCGGGTCCCGCACGCGGGCTGGTTGCGCTGGCCGCCAGCGCGGCCGCCTGCGATTGGCGCGGGCCGCTCGGCACAGCGGCGGCCCGCGCCGGGTGGGCCGGCCCAGCCGAGGCCCGCGAGGCCTTGCCTGGGCGCACCGTGCCGTATTACGACGACTTCGAGTACGGCACGGAGACCGGCGAGCCAGAGGAGGGCGGCGAGGCTGCTGGCAGCACCCAGGCGCCGCCCGACAGCGGGCCGCCGGGTGCGCCCCCTCAGCCGCCCACCCACGCCGCCGGAGGAGTCGACAACACCAGCAACGCCACCGGCGGCACCAGTGACGGGGAGTCCTGGATCGGCGGCTGGGGCGTCTGGGCGCTGGGCTGGAAACCTTTGGGTGAGGGCACCTGGGCCTGGCGCATGAGCGGCATGGGCGGGGGCGCGCGCGAGAAGCTGGATAGCCTCGGGGGCGCCTTCTCGACCCGCGCCGAGACGGGCTGGCTGACCAAGGAGGGCGGCTGGTTCTTCTACGCCCTCGAGAAGCTGGGCCTGACGGTCTTCGGGGCCGCCTGGCCGGTGGTGGCGTGGACGTTCATCTTCCTGGCCTTCCTCGCGATGCTCGCTTTCCTCACCCACATCTGCCGGGCGCTGCTGGCCCCCTGTGCCGCCGCCCTCTGGTTGATTGGTCTTCTGGCGCGGTGCTTCAAGTGCCGCCGGCGAGAGCCTGGCGATGCAGCTGCCGAAAGGTACCTGCCGCCGGCTCCGCCTGCCCTCACCCAGATCCACTGGATGGGGCCAGAGACCGGACCCGCCACGACCACCGAGTACTACAGCAAGAAGGTGAAGGGTCGTGGAACGGGGAGGAGGCCGAACGACGTGTTGGTCAAGATCGACGACCGTGTAGCACGGGTGCGGATTGACCTCGCTGAGCCCAAGCGGATCGATCGGAAGGGCCTTTGGGTGGATTGCCTGAGCGTGAAGGGGGCCAGCTCTCGCGCGCTCCGCCAGAAGCTGGAGGCGCTCGAGGGCCGTTCGACCCACCTGTGCCGCAACATGGTCTGCCGAGATCGGCCCGGGGAGATCCACTGCAAGGAGTGCGCAGCCCTGGGCTCCGAAGCGATCGTGGGCATCGGCTCCCATGCCAAGTTCACCTCCTGCCGCGGCATCTTCCTACTCTGGCGGATCTTCACGGATCTCGGGCGCGGCACGTGGCGAATCATTGTGTTCACGTGCTGCCTCTTGTCCTGCGGCTGCTCTTTCTGCTGCCGGCGCCGCCGCCGTCGTAAGACAGGCGCTGCGGAGCCAGGCGTTGCAGGAAGTGTCGCAGAGGTCCTCGATCAGGAGTCCGAGTCAGAGGTGGAGGCTGAGGACAAGCCATGTGAGGCGGTCCGAATGGGGAATCGTACTTCGTGGAGGCGCTCGCCCCTTGGCCCCCGACGGCTGCCGTGACGCCGCAGAGGCCGAGCCGACCACCCTGCTCACGGAGGACGGCCAGGCTTCCGACCTCCCGCCCCCCAGCGACGGGAGGAACTCCTAGGCCTTCGCTCATCTCTGTGCCCATCATTCGCAGGTCTACAGGGCCTCCCGGTACCGCGACAAGTGCTCCCAGGTGACCTGCTACCGCCAGGCAGTTGGCAACGCCGAGGGTGTACCACTTTGCCTCCTGCACCTAGGTGGGGGGGCCAGCAGAGCAGCGCAGGCTACTGCTACTACGCCGAGCCGTGGACTCTTCTCAGGCTTGAGGCGTCGGGTAGTCCGCAGCCGCAGCCCTCGGGCGCGCGAGCCAGGGGCCCCCGCGGCAACGGCCCCTCCAGCGGACGGAGGCCGAGGGCCAGAAGTTCGTCGTGGGCAGGCAGCAGTGAGCCCGCCCCCCCGCGAGGCGCCGTCTGCGCCGCGGGCTCCGCCCGCTAGCGTTCGGTTCGAAGCTTCACTTTCCCCAAGGGTGCCCCTGCCACAGAGCGCCAGCCCCGCCCCTTGCGAGGAGACCGACCAGAGCGACTACCTGGTCCTGCGCGTTCGAGTGCAGTGGGCGGCTGGACCGCAGTGGATCGTGTTCTTGGGCAGGTCAAGGCCTGGAGAGGGACCGTTGGGGGGCGGCAGCCTAACCGTGGTGGACGTCGAGGGGCCGGGGCCGCCCCCCTGGCGACATCGAGCAGATCTGGTTCACCTTCAAGACCGCGGGGATCGAGCGCGCCCCCGCCACCAGCGACCAGGGCAAGCTCCCCACCGGATACCTCGAGGGACTCTTGCACCACCCGCCACTCGGTGCAGAGGAGCTGGGGATCAGCGTGAACGGCATCGTCGTGAGCAAGTCTGCGTGGGAGAAACTACACCCATGGAACGGGGTCCCAGTGGGCGGGAAGGCCAAGAGGATCAGCCGCCCCCAGCGGGCCCAGCTTCGAGCCCGAGGTGACCAGCTTGTATGTCAGCACCCAGCTGGCGCAGCAGGCGACGCCGGCGGAGCACGGCCCCCCGCCGCCGACGGGATGGACACGCAGCTCAGGAAACACTGGGCGAGACTCGACCGCAGCAGCTCCCCCAAGACGCCCTTTGGCGTTGGATGGGGCCTGGGCGAGGAGCGCGATCGGGCCACCCCCGCCCCGCGCCGCTCCTCGCGCAGCCCTGGAAAGGCCCCGGAAGAGGAGAAAACCGGGGAGGCCATGCTGGGGCTGTATCTCGCAGCTCACGAAGGAGTGTCAGACAACGCCTCCGCGCTGCAGAGCGTCGCGGCCGGGTACGACGAGGACATCGCCGCCGTCCTGGGGCACCTCATCAAGTACACCCAGCGCCTCATGCGCAACAGCGGAGCGGACGAGAGCGTCAGGTATCAGACACATGTCTACCGTTGGGAACGAATGCTGGAACGCGTTCGGGCCGAGCGGGACGAGAACGTGAGTCCACCGCTCGCCAGCAGCCTCCTGAAGCTCGACGCCGAGCGCCGCCCCGACACCAGCCAAGAGCCAAGCCAGCCCGCGGCCCCCCCCCCCCGGGCTGGACCCAGCAGCGAGCGCTCCACCTCTACCGCCGCCGGCCCCCCCGCCTGGCGTGCGAGTACCTGGGGCCTCGCGCCTCGCACCTCCAGGTTTGATGCCAGGCCTTGTCCCGAACCTCGGGCAGATGTTCACCAACAGAGGTGCCTACGGGCAGGGAGGGCTGGTCAAGCCCCCAGGCCAGCCTGATCGGAGGTACGCTGCAGGGGCTGGAGAGAGCGACCCTTCGGCCGCCATCACCACCTACGCGCAGGTCCTCCAGAACGGTCAGGAGCAGCAGCACCTGGACAACATGAGATTGCTGCAGGCGGTGGATAGCCTGCGCAGATCTGGTGAGGAGGAAAAGGTCGCTCAGCGTGGGACCCTCGGCGCCATCGGGCGGGCCGAGGAGTTGGACGTATGCCTGGCCCGAGGTTGCGACGCCCTCGACGTGGAGGTCTGCGGTGCGCTCACCGGTCGGGAGCTGTTCCACGGACTCAAGCGCGCCTGCGAGCATGCCAAGCACGTGATGCAGGCGGTGAACTGGCCCACCACGGTGACCAACAGGACGGCGCACGGCATCGCGGCCTGCTGCTGGGGAGGTCGAGACCACAGAGACCTGGCCGAGTGGTCGGTCTCCGTGGCAGACTTCCCGCACTGCAAGGCGGAGGTGTTTGACGCCTGCACCATGCCCACATCGTGCAAACTCGAGCCGCGCCCGCGGCACCCGGTCGTCTTCTCTCAGTGGGTGAGGCAAGCCGAGAACGCCATTACCGTTTTCGGTCTGGTCTACGGGCGCATGCACGAGCCGGAGAGGCGTCGGGCCTTGGAGACCTTGCGCCTGGCTTATGAGGAGGGTGGCGTGGCCTTCCCCGCCGACTACGTGTACAGTCTTTGGGAGGAGCTCGCCGCGACTTGGTGTGAGCAGCTTCGGGAGAAGCGGAGAGAGGTGTGTCGAATCCTGGGTCTCACCAGCCCGCGCAGGGAGGATCGGCATCAAGACTGTCGCTCTCGCCCCCACAGGACCGACTGGGAGCGCTTGGTCGACGTTCCCGAATGTGTGCGACCTCGACGCGCTGGACGGCTACTACCAGGTGGTGTGCGTTCCTCGCCAGGCTCGGCGACTTCAGAGGTTCCTGCGCCAGAACCTGCGCGCCGGACCCCCGAAGACCCCCAAGGCCGGGAAGGCTGAAGAGCAGACTTCGGCCGACCAGGAGACGCCGACTACCTCCGGGCTGCGCCGGGAAGGCAGGAGCCGCCGCCAAGAAGGCCGCGGCCACGAAGCGGCCTGCAGCTCGGGCCTATCCAGCGGGCAAGGCGTTGACCTCCAGCGAGATCGGCTGGTCCGTCAAGCACGCCCCCCCGCGACAAGAATGGGAAGGTCATCTGCTGGGACGCTTGCACCTGGGCCGGTTGCCCTAAAGCTGCGGGAACCTGCGCGCATTCGCACGAGGCCATCAAAGGGCTTGGCAGCCTCGACTGGACGGTGCAGGCGCAGCTCATCAGGCGCGGTGGCCTGCGGTCTGGGGCGAAGGTTGATCCCGCCTCGGTCGATGGACGGGTCGCACAGCTCCGGGCACAGGCCAAAGCCGAGGCAGACAGCAAACGAGCTGGAGGGAGCGCGCCAGGGGCAGCCTCGGGAGGCAGCCGAGCGGGAGGCCCGCCGGCGGCGTGGGCACCCCCTGCCGCTTTCGACGACATCCA